GTGTGTGTGTGTGTGTGTGTGTGTGTAGCATGCATAAATGTGTGAGTGTGTGTGTGTGTATAGCAATAGCAGTTAGACTTATATACAGCCCCCTTATATACACCCCCCTTTCAGCCCTCTCTAAGCAGTTTTACAGAGTCAGCGTATCGCCCCCCAACAATCTGGGTCCTCATTTTACCCACCTCGGAAAGATGGAAGGCTGAGCCGGTGAGATTTGAACAACCGAACTGCAGAACTGCAGTCAGCTGAAGTAGCCTGCAGTGCTGCATTTAACCACTGCGCCACCTCGGCTCTCTATGCATCACACATCATCAGCAGTCACCTTATATAACAATAACCTATCTGAAAATATTTTGCTTGCTGGCATATGTGTAACAAAAAGGAGAGTTAGCTTGACTTGCCTTGGAAGTGGGAATTGGGATCTAATATTTTAAAAGGATCAGCAAGTTAATAGTGTTATTGTTGTACACTATAGTGTTATCTTCATATCACTGAACTACCAATACCTACAGATGGATTTTATGGAAGAGCTTAGCAATGCCTTGATGAGTCCAGTCTTTCCCAAGATGTGGCAAGATATGCCCTAGAGCATCAGACCTGATGAGGGGGAAAAAAACAGGTATATAATGAACTCTACACAATGTAACTGCAAGTTATTCTATATATGATGCAACAGTGAAAGCAGAATGTTCATAACTGGACATGCAGTGACATGTTTCAAGATAACCAATTCTAAAATGGATGTTTTTTGTTTTGGTTTCAGCCCACTAAGAGCTTAAGCAAGCCAGGTTGTTTCTGTTTTTTCCCCAGAATGATCAATGAAACGCTTTAGTCCATATAAGTTATGTATTTTGAGTAGAAACAGATTGACCCTTTGATTTTGATTTTGTTTAACTTGCATAAATCTCTATGCCAGTCTAATTTTCTCTGCAATGCTTGCCATGTCCCAGCAGCATTCACGACATCTATTGCTATCTCTCTCCTTCCACTGCCTAGAGCGGCAATTCTCAATCTTGGCAATTTTAAGATGTATGTACTTCAGCTTCCAGGATTTCCCAGCTAGCATGTTGCCAAGGATGAGCAACACTGGCTGAGATTTCCAGCATCCTCTTCCTGTTGTTTTTCTGCAGGCATTGGTGAGATGTATTTACTCCTTTCTCCCATTCTAGCAATTGCAATAACTTGCAAACACATTTACAGTTACTTGGTTGCAAAATTGCTAATATGCTATCCTTTCACTAGTAGTGAGCCCAGCGTCCACCACATGAACGTGTGCACATGCGTCCTTATCTCTTGCAATGCCTCCGTGAGCCTCCGCGATGCTTCAGCTGCTCGGCGGAGCATGGGCAGGCGCTGTGTGCTCCGTGCACATGTGCAGAAGCACCAAAGAGCTCAAATACAGGTAAGGAGCTCGGGCAGGCAAGTGGGCCCTCCGAAGCACCGTACCAGAACTGTACACAGTGCTTCAGGCAGGCACTGGTACGCCCATACCGGGGCATACCGCCTGCAAGCTACCACTGCCTTTCATCATCATAAAGCAAATGTTAAACACTCAAGGAAAACATGCATCATATCTAGAAAGCTTTCCCTGAAAGCAATCATTCACATGTCTTTTGTAAACTGTGAAGTTGGGGGAATGGGGGGGGGGGTGTTAAAAAAATTCATCACCATCTGAAGTTCAGTTAGATCATAGATTAAGTAACTAGTGAACTCAGAGAAATGTGTGCACATTCTCTACAAGCTTGGCAAGGCTGGCAAAAGTGTAGACAACTACAGATCACTTTTAAACCTCTTTGGGGAAATGGTAAGAGGAAATAATGGTGGCATGGAAGAGCCCACCGTCAAGTATTACAGGAAGCATTATTGCCAGTGGGTACCTACCTGGTGATGGTGCCATCAATATCCGAGATCACCACCTTGTCATACCAATTCCATAAGTAAATGTTAGCTTCACAACGACATGTACCCTGGTACTGAGTGGTCACACTGAACACAACGTCATTGGGGCCGTCCCTCAGGTTCAGCTTTTTCTACAACAAAAGAAGAGGAAAAAGAGGCAATTACAGTATCTTTATTTAGAGCAGTGATGGCGAAGCTTTTTTCCCTCGGGTGCCAAAAGTATGTGCACTCGCGTGCACTATTGCTCGTCCATGCGTGCCCACATGCATAATTAAATCTCCCCTTGCATTCTGCCACCTGCACATGTGTGCACTGCCCACACACACACAAGCACATGTCTTTCTTGGAGCCTGGGGAGGGCACCACCACGTCCTCCAAAAGACCAAAAATCAACTGACATAGGGCAATGCCTCATGTGCCCTCAGATGAGGCTCTGCGTGCCACCTGTGTCACATGTGCTATAGGTTCATCATCGCAAATTTAGAGCATGGCATTTCTCAGAGCAGTTTTGTTGGTTATATGTCTAATTCTGTTTCTACTTAGAGGTGCCACAGAATTCAGTACTGTTTGATTTCAAATAAATGTGAACACAAGGATAACATCGGTCTTCTTTCTCTGCTCTACAAGCAATCAGACATAATATAGCAACTCATCTGTCAATCACAAAATTGCTTCTCTCAAATGTTTATGCTATTTGGAAAAGTGAAGCTACTACACCAAAGAGTCTTCTTTGTTGCTCAACAATTATTTAATTTACAAAGTCACAATTTAATTGAAATTAGGATTTTAAAATATCTTGATGTTAAAGAATTAAATGCATATTAAAATAATTCTCAATTGAAATTGATGCTCATATAAAAAGAACAACAGGAATTGATGCTCATACTGTATTTGGTCATGCCTCTAGTGACTATCTACTTTTCACTGAAAATGAATTAAACAAAATTCATCTTGGTTATATATTATCTCTTCTTAATAAACTCTGAATTTTAAAATATAAATAGACATTTCTTTTGGTCCGACTTTTAAAAAAAGTAGAGCTGTATAATCACTTCCAAATCTAAGTATTATAGTACTCATGTCCTGTTTCCAAAGCACTGAATGGAGCTTTCAGAGTTTTACAAAAGAAATATTGACTTTTTGTATAGAAGCATTATTTTTAATTCCATTTAAAGCAAATTCAGATTTGGTCTTGTCTCTTATTTTGGAGGTTGTAGTCAAACTTTCCATTCAGATATGGCCACAAATTGTATACGCCTAAATAATTTTAGCCTTTGCTTCACTGATCTGTAAGATCTCAAAGTGACTTACATAGTTATCATTTATTTTATCTGCATGATGCAATGGAGTGCCACATTAGGTTAAGAGAAAGTATCTGGCACAGAGGTCCCCAATGAGCTCCATACCTGATTGAGGACTTGCACCTGGATTTCAGTGATTTCAGTTCAATGTTTTACCTACTAGAGAAGTGATACAATGTAGTAGTTAGAGCAGAACTAGGGAGATTCAGTCATGAAAGCTCATTGGTGACTTGACTTTGGGCCAGTCACTTTCTCTCCAGTTAAGCAACTTCCAGGAATGGAGAAAAATTGGAAGAAAGAGTTACAAACATTCCTTTAGGCTCTTGGATCAAAAAAAGGAAATGTATATTTTATGAATAAATAAATAATACTACTGTACACCACTTTGGAAAATAATTATTGATGATCAGTTAACAGAGGAAAAGCTTGGCCCACAAAACTTCATCATCTACACATATTTTAAGCTACACTTGCAAATGTCCAGTTTGCCCCAACATTTCTTAATTTTAAGGGCCAAACTCTGGTGTTTCCCCCCCAACATGCAACACATAACTGAGAAGTTTGAAAGTAACTATGAAGTCCACCTAAGAGGAAGGCCAATTGGGTAGTCTGTTTTGGCAGCGCTTCTCTCTGAACAGAAAGTTCTCTTCTGAATCAAACAGGAATATATAGAAAAGAAAATTCAAAGCTACATACAATTTCATCAGAGGAGAGTCTTAAGGACTTCTTGTAGGTTGGAAGAAATTTCTGTGTAATAGCATCTGGTATGGATCTGTCTCCTTGATGGGAGGATACAACATCTTCATCACTGGAGGAATCATTTTGTCTCCTATGGTTCACAGGACCAAAATAGATTGTCAACATAAAAGAGAGTAAAGGCTAAGAAATATGGGTGAAATATGGGTCAAATATGGGTATTTTGGGGGTAAGGCTTATATTAGGCACATGAATTAAAAACCATACTAGGGCTTATTTTCTGGATAGGTCTTATTTTCAGGGAAACAGGGTATATAGAAACAGACTCTCTTAAAATTAACACCTGACTCCATTGTTCAAAAATATCCTTCAGTATGTCCAATGTTAAACATTTTGCTTCATTGTGTTTTAGGAAGTCATTTTTTCTTCTTCTCTAAATATAATCTTTAGTTCCTTCTAGTTCCCTCTAGTGTCCAACCTTCAAAGTCTCATACTATCATTTTTATGAGAATTTAAAACAAAAGCATTTTCTTATGGGAAGGATTCTTATAATTAACTCCAAAATCTTATTTCAAATCCATCTGGAGGCTTAGTCTATTTATAATTTTCCAAAATCTAAGTTGTAATCAAACTTTTTCCTGTTTATTCCAAAAGATTGTTTAAGTCCTTAAGCTTGCATGTAATTTTTTTTTGTTAAAGATAGAAAGAAACTCGTATGGTGCTGTAAAACCTGTTGAACCAGAGGTACCTAACAGCTGAAAAACACTTAACAAGCAATTTCCAAAAGTTAGTAGAAAAGAAAGTATGCAAATGCAGTGTCCTTTTTAATGGCACCAAATGCAGTTTGAGCAAGATGGCTATTCCCTTATCTCCTAGAGCTCTAAACCCACTGGGAACCACCTCTTGTGGCCTCATCATGAGAAGCAATTGCATGGAGCACTTGTGGGTGATCTCAAGTCCTCCCTTTGTCTAGAGAGGAATTACAAGGAACTGGACTGTTTGCTACTCACTATTTCTTCCCTGGAAGCCTGTTAATTCTTGAGGACTGACAAATAGACTTGAAAGAAATTCTATGTTACAAAGGTCTAAAAGCAGATAATTGAACTTAAATCCCAAAATGTCCTCTGAGGTTTTCCAAGGTTTTTAAGAAAAACTTGCATTTGGATCTGATAAACTAAGCTACAGTCCCAAAAGTGTATATACCTTTTAATAAAATGTATTATCCTGAAAAAGTGCTACAAGGTCCTTTTGAATTGACTCATTTTAATTTGTAGGCTGCCCATCTCAGATATATAGTTCTTGGTTGCTAACAAGTGCTAGTTTAAAAACAGAATAGAAAAATCAATAAATAACATAAATGGCAGCTGAAATTAAATATAAACAACCAATATAGTATTTAAAATAAAATTCTGGTCAAGGAATGGGATGAGAGGGGAAAGAGGGCTAATTATTTTTTCCAAATTTTTAAGGTAAGTTTTAAATGTGGATTTGTACTACCCTGTTTCGCCGAAAATAAGACTTCCCTGATTAATAAGCCCAATTGGGCTTTTGAGCGCATGCACTAAAATAAGCCCCCCCCCAAAATAAGCCCTCCTGGAAAATATTGCAACATAGCAGCAGCCATGAGGTGACCACTCTCGCTGCATCCTGCACCTCATAAATAATAAGACCTCCTGAAAATAAGACCAAGTGCTTCTTTCAGGAGTCAAAAGAAAATAAGATCTGTCTTATTTTTGGGGAAACACAGTAATAAATATTATTTGTCATTTTGAGTTAAGACATTTTAATCAAAACTATTAAATGTTCACTATAATTATTTATCAAAAATACAGCCATGCCCTTAGGTATGCCAAATTCAATGCAATATCAATAAATCACAACTTACCTCTGAAGAGAAGTGTCCTCCTGATTCTTGCCTACTTTGTTGGACTTCCTGGTACTGATTTCATGCTACAGATACATAAATTTACCTTCAGTTAATATTTCTTCAAGGAGTAAATCATCTTTCTTCCATTTGATGTCACGTAGATAAGTTGGGATCACACATCCCAGATTTCCCAGTCAGAATGGGAAACCTACTATGTTACAGAATGTTTCATTAAATTAAGGAACTCATCTCTGCTACAAAGGATTGGCTACAAAGATCGTAGATTTGGCCATATCTCTATAAAAGGAAAGATGTGTTAGTACCTAATTTGACTAGGCCTATGTACACCTGACAGAAGTCCATTTCAACTGCAACATTTTGTTCTGGATGTTATAGAGGGATGTTTCCTTTCCATATTGCAATATATGTACCTCTTTTCGCCTCCAAGAAAACCACCACCTTCCAACTTTCTTGGGCATCTTCTCTTTCATTAGTCTATCAACAGCATTCTGAAACCACAAGAAAGATGAAGAAATGTTATGGTGAATTGGTTTGAATCCAAAAGCAGGTTTTACAATCTTAATTAAGATTGTAACAGTTCCACAATTATTGGATAATCCCTAACCTCCAAACATGTCATCAATACCAAATATCTAATTCAAGAATGAATCAATCAGATCACAAGTTTCAATGTTCCCAAGAATAAGATAGACGTATATGAGTATTGCTGCAATTGGTTCAAGACAGCAAAAAAAAAAAAAAAAAAAAGGAAAGTCAGAAGAGGTTTCCAAGCTTCAAGGTAGATGAAGGATGGCACTGAACTACAAAGCCTATTCTGTGGAGGCTGTGGGGATTTCTCAGCTTGGTGGTTTGCTTGCAGATGTTTCATTAAGGGACAAGATAAATATCAGTGCTAGTAAGTATGAGACTTGTTCCTTGTTTACATACAGTAGTTTAAAACCCTATTCTGTGCTGGAAATAAGTCGTTTACCTAAGACGGAGGCATATATTTTGAAGTAAAAAGGCTTGCTTAAATTGTATGTGGAAAGCTAATAGGCTGGATATTTTCTGTCATTGAAGTCACAGCAAGGTTGTTTTTTTTTTAATTGGACATATTGGGTACTAATTTAAAAGCCAAAGTTTTCCAAATTGGCAACCTGCTAAGAGTTGAAGTGGAAATGGTTAATGATAAGACTATGTTGCTTAAAATTTAAAATATAATTTAATTATGTATTTTTCTTCCAATAAATGAAAGGAAAAGTATTCGATGTAATCTACACAATAGGAATTTAATGAAATTTGCAATATTAAACTTTAATCTATAAAACTCATCTTAACTATTAACTACTAAGTTAAAGTGTTTTCTATTGTTAATATACAAGAAATGGCAAAATGATGAAGGCAGAACTATGAACAGTAATATAGGTGGTAATACTTTTTTTGTAATTTACAATGACATCAAGTTTAACTTGTTTTGCTACTTCATTATACAAACATACTTTGAACCATGGGAGATTTGCAGTAGAGCATCTTATGTTATCTTCTGTAGCATTTGTTTTTACAGATAGCCAACAGCTATTCACCTTCTTAGTTTATGCAATCTGCCCTACTTTTTAAAAATATATGATGAATATATTTTAATTGGAGAATAAACCTAAGTCATATGTTAACAAGTAACAAGAAAAAAGTTATTTGAGCATTATCGTCAAGTTATGGGAAGCTGGTCTACTTATCAATAATTTTATTAGGTCACCCTCCATTAACCTTTTCCTCACTTTCTTCTATTATTTCCATGATTATTAATTTTGAAGATGTTAAATATCATAATCTCATAGTAAGCTATAGTGTCCTATTAAATGTTTTAAGAACTTATGAGAATACACAATATGTAGTTACATTTGGATTGTAAAAATGGAACATGGAAAATGGAATATAACTGCCAATCCCAGTATTTAATGTTTGAACAGAAAATTGACATCATGTCCATAAAATATAAGTACCTATATGGGCAAGTGAATTGTCATTTTTAAAAATTCATCTTATAAGTCTGATTATCATTCTCTGGAAATGAGATAAAAAGAATTCATAAAAGCTGTACAGAAAGAAGTCGGTTTTGATAAATGATTGCTGTAATAGCATTCAAAAGCATTAAGATAACCTGAAAGTTTGGGTAAAAGGTTTTCTTCTCAATAGTCCTGATTAAATTAGTCTGGACATTTGGAGAGATAATACCGATTAGTTTATTAGGGTAAAAATTATTTACCATTCTAGAGATTAAGAAACTATATTATACCACTCTTTAAATGTTGAAACATAAAAACCTAACTAAGAAATTATACTTCATTACTAAACACAAATTAATATTAACTTACTCTGGAAAGATTCTTTTGGAATGCCTGCAGTGAGAGAACCATAGGAGCTGCAACTGCCCAATTGTAGTATCTGCAATTAGAGAGGGGAATCAAAATAATCTGCGTATAGCGGCATGAGCCTGATAGCAAAGTAATAGATGGAAAATGATCATCAAAATTACAGAACTGAAAGATGACGAAGTACAAATGGACCGGAGATGGTATTCAGATGGTTTTAACCGGTTCTGGCAAACCGGTAGCAGAAATTCTGAGTAGTTCACAGAACCGGCAAATACCACCTCTGACTGTCCCCACCCCCATCTATTCGCTGCCTTCTGAGTCTTAGCTGATCTGAGTCTTAGCTGATCTGAGTCCCAGCTGATCTGCTGTGTCTTCTTTTGTTGCCCTGCACAGAATGGAGCTGGAAAGCAGGTTAGTGGGGTGAAGAGGGAAGTATCCTTCCCCTAGGAGTGCGTTGGAAATTTTACAGTATGGGATGGAGATTTTACAGTATCCTTCCCCTGGAGTGGGGTGGAAATGGAGATTTTACAGTATCATTCCCAAGCCAATTCACCAAGTCACACCCACCAAACTAATGGCAAAGCCCAATATTTCAACCCAGCCAGACTCAACTAAATCTCATCGTTTCATGAAGTATCTGAGATATTTGTGACAGGCAGCTGAAATGTACTATAAATCTGCAGGTATATGTGTGTATGCTTCCTAAATATATAACTGAAATATGTTTCATTATATGTTTTCATAAAAATCTAAATCTGGTTTCCTAGCCAGCCTCTAGAATAGCGGTTCTCAACCTGTGGGTCGTGACCCCTTTGGGGGTCGAACAACTTTTTCACAGGGGACGCTAAGACCATCGGAACTCTAAACTTTAGACTCCCCCCCGCATTCCTCCAAATCCCCCGTGGATGGGCTCCGGAATCATTTCTGGCTGTACAGAGCATCGCCGCGGCTCCATGCCGTGGAAAACATAGCTGCGCGTGCACAGCCCATACAATTACAGCCTTGGAGACTTCATAATGGCTGGAAATTCTTCTCAGTCACCCAGGCTTCTGCAGAATCTGCTCTCTGAAACTTTCCAAAGCTCTCCGAAGGCAAGAAGCGGCAAGAAGCGGCTGCCAGCAAAGCGATGGCAAGAGTTCCACCGCCGCACCAGAGTCAGCAAAGCGGCAACGGAACATGCTTGGGGAAGGGAGAGCCAGAACTGACTGCCTGGGACTATTTCTGTGCCACTGTAAAAATGTCTGTTTTCCAGCCACAGGAAGGAAGGAAAGAAGCCAGTCTTTGGAAAGAACCTTCCTCCCCCTCCAGAGAGCCTATGCCAAAAGACAGGAGGGGGCGGGCTGGTTTGAATGCAGGCAAACGGGTGGTTTAGTGGCGTGCGAGAAAGCCCCCCCCCCCTGCCCGAACAAGGCCGATGGAGAATGAAAGGAGATCATGTCAAGCAGGGGGAGCATTGGTCCCGTTATTGCTGGAGTTGCTTTTGCTGACTCCAGCATGGCGGTGGGACTCTTGCCATTGGTTTAGTGCCCCACCTTCTTTGCTAGTTCGGGTGGGTGGAGAAAGGAGGCATGCAATAGTCGAGGGCAAAGGTGCTCCCCTTCGCCCTTGGTGGCAGGGGTGATTTTATCACAAGCCTCCTTTCTTCCTCCATCCGCCTCAGCAAAGAAGGTGGGCCACTAAACCGATGGCAAGAGTCCCACCGCCATGCTGGAGTCAGCAAAAGCAGCTCCAGCAACAACGGGACCAATAGGGGGTGGAAAATCCATGCAGAGGGAGGAAAATGCATGCATTCCCCACCCCCTCCATTGGAAACAAGGCAACTGTCAGAAGAGGGCATTGCACGCCATGTGGGCTTGTGCAGCAGCCGAAGAACAGGAGGTGAAGTGACCACAGTATGTGTGTGTGTGTCTATCTGTGTGTGTGTGAGAGAGAGAGAGAGAGAGAGAGAGAGAGACAGACAGACAGATATAGAGAGGCACAGAGAGACAGAGATGGGGGAGGGAGGAGAGAGACATAGAGGGACACAGAGAGGGGGGAGGGAGGGGAGAGGCACAGAGATACAGAGAGAGAATTACAGAGAGAGAGGGAGGAAGGGAGGAGAGAGACAGAGAGACACAGAGAAAGAATTATAGAGAAAGACAGAGAGGGAGGAAGGGAGGGGAGAGACAAAGAGCCCCACAGAGAGACAGACAAACAGACACAGAAAGAGAGAGACAGAAGGAGAGAGAGAGAGAAAGAAAGGAAGATTTGGTGGCTGTTTTGTTTTTTCTTTCCTTTTTTCTTTTTAAAAGAAAGGCACTCTTTCCACTAAGAGCCAGTAGCCTGCTCTTAAACTTCTCAGACAAAATTTCATTTATTTGTAATTAGTAATAAATATTTCACAATATATAATTACATATTGTTTTGTGATTAATCACTATGCTTTAATTATGTTCAATTTATAACAATAAAAATACATCCTGCATATCAGATATCACGATTCATAACATTATGATTCATAACAGTAGCAAAATTACAGTTATAGAGTAGCAACGAAAATAATTTTATGGTTGGGGGTCACCACAACATGAGGAACTGTATTAAAGGGTCGCGGCATTAGGCAGATTGAGAATCACTGCTCTAGATAGAAGGCTTAGCCTATAATAACATTTGCAGTCCAGCGCATGACAAGCCAATTTCAGCTACAATATATTTTCTGCTGTCACGGTTGCTGAACTCAGTTTATGAAAGTGTATGAGCTTTTATTCTCACATATAGGTATTTAAAAAAAAACATTTTGGGGAATAATTGGGAGCCAGAATACATAAGAGGGGAATGTAAGTTCCATCTTCATGCAAAATTCACTAACTCAGCAAAGCAGCCTTTAAGGAGTGGCCGGACTAACATTTTTCTCGCAGAATACAACTAGAATTCACTCATGCACACTCATGCATGTACATGGCTACACAAAGCTCTTTTGGGGAACACAAACACCACAAATGAAAGTGGCATTTCTACTCACTTCTTTTGGATCTGTATTACCAAGTTTGGGTCTTCAAGAATTGCTGGGTTCTCTGCAAACTCCTGATAGGACACTATATGCTTCATAAACTTCTCTGCTAAAATGGAAGGCAATATATTTATATTTACATTTCATATTTCATTATAAACTGCCCATCTCCCTCAAAGGGGAGCTATTTGATAGATAGTTGTCTCCTAATTCATTCAGTAACTGGATACTATTTTTCCCACCCAATAAATATCTCCTTTAGAATAACTTTATAAGTTTATAACTTTATAAGATAGTACCCTAGAAAGCCAACTCAAAGTCAGATCTTTATAAAAACTCTTAAGAGTACCAAATCACATTCCCTCCTTTCCCTCTAAACATACCATGAGTTAATTCTCCATCATCTCCAAGACCTCCACAGAGAGACAAGCGAATGGGGCTATTTTCTGTAGATTCCAGCAGATTATCTGCATTGCTGTCCCCTGTTGCACTCAGCACATGGGAATCAGAGAAGATTCCAGGGTCAGATTGTGCTTGTGGACAATTCAGTTCAGCATCACTGTAAACCAAATAATAATAACATCAAAAGCATGTTATACATGTTATTGTTGTGGTTGTTAAATAATAATAACAATATACCACGTGAACCCCTATATTCCTTTAAGGCAAGAAAAATGATGACATATTTTACTTATTTGTGGAAAACTTCCCTATTATACTCATCTCTGGATCATCTGTTACAATAAGATTTGGGAGAGGCAATTTGCGTACTAAAGAAAGTTCTTCAGACTAAATTATGACTTTATCTTTTAAATTATAACTCTTTCTTTTAAATTCTGGTTAAAAAAAACCCTATGGCCTTTGAACTCCAATTTCTCCCTAATCATTATTCACAGCCCTTAGACTGGTATAAATTGGAATCCAGTACTTTTTTTGGGGGGGGGAATCACAAGTTTCCTTATTTTTGCTTTCTTTATTTATAAACACACACATCTAAAATGTCATCTTACTTGTACTGGACTAATATTAACCACCCTGAATATAGGCATGTTGTCTCACATTTATTGAAACAGTTTGCACATAAATCATAGTTTAATGCCATATACATGCGTTATAGATTTATGGAATTCAGATTTCACCTTCTCTCTAATGTGGTAATAAGATATTAAGAAACCAAACTGTCTAAACTTGAAGCTTAGAAAAAACTTTGTCAAACAATGAAACTTGCTACTCTGGTATACCATGGGCTTCCTTTTGATGAATACTTTTAAACAAAGATTATGTAGCCGTTGGTCATGATTAAATCCCTGCATTTTGTTTTGGTCAAGTCATTCAAGGCTCTTTCCTACTGTAACTTGAATTTAATAATTTTAATTTCTCATCTATAGTTTGTCCAAAGAAATCAGAAACAATAGCCATACCTCTTGGGGAAATAAAGTGCTAATTGCTCCGCATCCAGGTTTGAAAGATCATCTAAATAAATATCACTAGGTCCCAGGTGAGGGTTTTTCTTTATGGAACCTTAAAGAGATTAAGAAATGATTACAATGGCCCAAATAATTGAATGAAGAAACTGTATTTCTATAGACATTTCTGTAATCACTCACCCTAATAAGGAAGACAGTACACCCCCCAAAAAAAAACATCTCAGTGAATATCTATATACTGTATAAATTATTATTTTTAAAATACTATAACAATTTCATAGAATACCAAGGATTTAGTTAATAAGGTGATATCCAGGTGGTTTCAATTTCTGATGACTGGAATAACACAAAATGGTCAGAATTGTATGTAATGACACATTGCCCAAAGTCAGGTAATTCCCCACTCTTTTATCCTTTGTAAAATGGGTAAAAGCAGTCCTCTTGTACAGAGCATTTAGGAACAAATGTTTTTAACTAGAAGTCAGCAACTGATTTGGTTTTCTTTGGTATTTCATTATATGTTTCAGTACTGTGAATATTGTAAGTTGCATAGAGTCTGACAAGGAAGCTGCATCAATATTAATGTAATTAATCCCCTTTCCTCCTTTAATGATAAGGGACGTGGACATTATAAACGCACTTGTCTCATTGTCTGCAAAATAGAGTTCAGAATTCAGACTGAATATCCTAAAGCGGCATTTCCATTTGGAGGGCTCTTTCTTAGGGATACAGAATGTAAACAGACCTTTGGAAAGTACAGATAGTTCTCATCTTACAACCACAATTGGGATCAGCATTTTTATTGCTAAGCAAGGCAATAGTTAAATGAGTTGTGCCCAATTTTACTTTTTTGCCATGGTTCCTAGGCAAATCACTGCAGTTATTAAGCACATCATATGATCGTTAAGCAAATCTGACTTCTCCAGTTGACTTTTTTTGTTACAAACAGAGCTGGGAATGCCACCAAATGTGATCACATGACCCACAAGATGATGTCACTGTCACAAATATTTGCTGAATTTTGATCATGTAACCATGGGAGAATACTGCAGTGGTTGTAAGTCACTTTTGTCAGTGCCATTCTAATTTTGAATGGTTGCTAAAATAAATGGTTGTAAGTAAAGGACTACCTGTACTTGATTTAGGAGCCTCGGTGGTTTCTACAGTTGGGTATGGAAAAAGGTTGGGAGGGACAAAATGTGTTGAAGAAGATTAAAAATGGAACAGCTTCCCCTATCCTCAAACCAGAGATGGATTGCTGCGGGTATGGCCCAGTATGGGCATACTGGTAGTGGCCCAGAGCAGCTGAGAGTGTACTGGTACGGTTGGCCCTTTTGGCCCACCTGCCTGCCCATGCTCTATGCCTGTTTTTATGGCAAAATGCAAAGTGCGCACATGCACACAGCATGCGGTGCCTGCGCGAGCCCCAACAATCAGCTGGTTGTCGCAGAGGTGGTGGATTGCACATGTGTGCATAGCGCAAGTCAGGCATGTGCGTGAACAGAACGTGCAAGCATGTGATCAGCATACCGGTGACAGTAAGAGCAACCCACCACTGCCTCAAATAATGTTCAAGATTTTTCAAGAGAATAGGAAAAGATTCTTCAGAGAGTTCCAAGTACATTTGGAAGGCTCAATTCTAGGTTGATCAACATAGCAATAGCATTTAGACTTATATACCACTTCACAGTGCTTTACAGCCCTCTCTAAGCGCTTTACAGAGGCAGCATATTAACCTCAACAATTTGGGTCCTTATTTTACCTACCTAGGAAGGATGGAAGGCTGAGTCAACCTTGAGCCTGGTGGGAGTCGAACTGCCAAATTTCAGGCAGCTGGCAGTCAGCAGTACAACACTCTAACCATTGCGCCACCGAGGCTCTTATAGCAAAAAATTATCTTAAAGTTTAAGGATGCCTATTACACTTTGTTGACAGATTGCTCAACTCTATTGTAATAGCTTTCATCTCCACTTACTCCTCCTCTTCTCCTGGTTCACATCTGGACCACTGCAGGGTTCTATGTTTGACAAAGGTTTTTTCAAAGGAGGCACTTCCAAATCTGGATATGTAGCTTGCACGTCTGACTCCTTGATAGAATTTGATCTGTCAGTTTCTGCAATTGGTGCTGTTACTTCTGTATCTCCTGGAAGTCCATGATCAGGGCCCACTTGGTCTATAGCCATGCAAATGGAAGGACAGGGCTCTTCATCTCCCAGAAGTCCATTTCCAGAAGGAAAAACAGGGGTTGGCTTAATTATGGAAAAAGATGCTGTATCATCAGAGTCCACTGTTCCCACTGTTTCTGAGCCAGCTGTAATAGCCACAAAGTGAGTTGTCTCGTCCATAGGGATAACAGTAGTTGGGTCATTGGCTGCTGTTTCACAGACATTTAAGACAGGTTTGGTTGCTTCTACACGGTCTAATTTGCTCATCTTTAAAAGGAAAAAGACTTGTGAAATCTCACAAAAGAGATAAAACAAAATGATTTTGGGGACACAATTGTTTTTTTTTCTTTTTCTAACTCTACAGGTGTTTATTATTGCATCATGCATGCACATGTATACAATATACTACTGCCAAATGAGTAATTTTACTGGAATTCAAACCAAAATTGCAGGATGTTAAAACAATGCAAATAAATGAAATAACAATTTTTAATTTAATTTTAAAATTAATTTTGATTTTTAATATTGAAATATTAAATATAAATAACATGTTTTTGAAGTATCTTGTTTTGTATAAAAAAGAGATAAGGGTCTTCATAAAGTCACACACTTTGATTTAAATTATTTTCACACAATTATTTGTCAATTTATGATATATTGATAGAAATCAGAAATCACAGTCTAAGGTCACAAGTAGATTCCAGACTTCTAGGCTCATTGATCCTTGTTGAGTGAAGTTGCTGAAAAATTTTGCAACTCTAAAGCAAGGACAATTTGAAAATTGTAGTATAAACCTTAATAACCATAGTACTGATTGAAGCCACTTATTTCTAGTGGTTTCTGCCCAATCACTGAAAAATAGAAAACTGCACTTTCTTCAGATATCACTCTTCAGGTAGGTCTGTAACCCAACTACATATTGGTATAAATCTGGTATAAATAGCATAAGAGTCTAGTAAATCCATCATCCATCTCCAGGAAAATACTAAAATACCGAACACCCTGGGATACATCCCTGCCTACCTTATATCATTTATTTGTGTATTTCAGTTTCTGTCTTCACCCCTCTGAAATATTAGGTATATTTTAGACCATCCTGTTATAAAGACTATAAAAGGGAGTCCTAAGCACACATATAAACATGTAGGTATTGTTTTTTATGATTATGATAATAATGGGAAACATTGTTACATCTATTCATATAAGACATGAAGCTATGCATCTCAGAGATCCTTCCTTTATCTATACCCACCTCTGGCAGTCTTCCCCAGGACCATTGTAGCTGGGATTCAGGACCAAGAGGTAGTTCAGGATTTCTGATCTCCAATTCAGAGTCGCTTTTTGGAGCAGATGAACAACTTTGAGAAAGGCTGGGGAAGGGAGATAAACCAGAACCCTTTTAGTATTGATAGCGGAAAATACTGGTGACCTAACCTATTGCTGGTAAATCCATGATAGAAATCAGCACAATCAAGAAATCCTCATAAGAGTTGATGTAATAGATCAGGAAAGAGGAGTTTAGGAATACCAGTAACTTCAGAGAGCAAAATCAATTGAAGGATTAGAAAAAGAATCTAGCTATTTTATTCCTGTCATCTAGTCTCTCCTAAGGAAGAGTGCTTATCCTTTTCTTTCATTTAGTTCCACCATTTCACTTGACTTGAATCTCTTCATTCCCAATCAATACTTTGCCCAAAACTGATCCAATCCTACTATCTTCAAACAAATATTATCATCACCTCTTCTGTATAAGCCCTTCTGGGACACTTGAAGAGGCCACATGTCCTTTTCTATGGACATACAAGCAACTGGAAGAGAATTATCCAAGATCACTTTTCTTCTTCAACCATTGTGCTCCCTGAAAGCTCAGTCCAATAGCCTTCCTCTATTTACTCTCCAGAAATGCTAGGTATTAGTTAAATGTCAACCATAATGTTGAGTTAGACCAGTGTTGGGTTCCAGATCCCACCACATGCACGTGCGCAGCACACGTATATGTACTTACTGCCTGCAACACTCTGCAGCGCTCCAGCTGCTCAGCGGAGCATTGCTCAGGCGCCATACACTCTGTGCACGTGCACGGAAGCCCCAATTGGCTCAAATACCGGCAAGGAGGACGGGTAGGTGGGTGGGCCCTCTGGAGCACTATACCGGAACGGTACCTGATACTCCCAGCAGGCACTGGTATGCCCATTTCTGGGCATACCGGTCGTATCCCACAACTGAGTTAGACCCCTTAGATGTCATGAACCTCTTCAGAGAATGCCAAGTTTGAATAACCTGTTATATTTCAGCTCTTCTAATACTACCATGGTGACTCCATATTCCCATACTAGCCAAGATCCAGAGTTCTTCAAATATGTCCAAAAAGTTTGGATGTCCCAATAGAAACTGGAATTTTTCTTTTCTTAAAAAAGCAGATGCATCATGTCAGAAATGGCATACAGATGGGATAGTCCTGGATCCATTGGTACAACCATTGCATTTCCTGAGTCATATCTCATATTCAAACAAGTAGACCTGTTTGGCTCCTTTGCATCTCTGCTATATTTACCTCTGCAGGGGAGCTAGCTCTCCATCAGAATACGGATGTACTTCTTGAAGTTGTAGAGTCCCATCTTCTTGTTGTGGGACGTCTCCAAAGGAGTAGTAGAGTGTGTTACTAATGAGAAAAGATAGAATGAAGTTAGGTACAAAGACACCTCTATAGTGATAGGTGATATTCATGTGCATAGACTAAAAACTATAGTGCTGGCTACCTGCAAGGCTGCCTTAGCACTAGTGATAGCACTTAGACTTATATGCCACTTTACAATGTTTTACATCCCCCTCTAAGTGGTTTATAGTCTCAGCATATTGCCTGCAACAATCTGGGTCCTCATTAGTAACAACCTTAGAAGGATAGAAGGCT